TATTATAGAATCGATCAAATTCCACAATCAAAAGTAAGATGAACTTTATTTATCACATAAAACTAAACTATTCTTTTTCTATCATAGAATTGTTTACTTCTTGAAACCTTCTTTGTGTGCTCATTCTCAAGGTTCGATACGAAACCTTATGTTCAAAACCTTTTTTTTCGAATGTAATAGCTATTATCCATTTCAAAATAGAATGTGCTTCACTGTTTTTTGAATAACTTGAGAATGCAAGCAGCTAGAAATCTGCGGTTTTCGCCAATCGAAAGAGAAGACGAGGGCACGTCTTTTTCTTCAATATTGCATAGGACGAAATCCTTTTAAAACTCATTATCTTTGAGAAACATGCAAAGGAATGCATGAAAGTGACCTGCCATCTAAGTGAAAGTTTGATTTTGACCTTCGATTTAGATAGAGGAACTTGAGATCTATAGTTCAAGATACAATGCACTTTCCTACTTTTCTTTACGTTTTCATCGAAATGTCCAGCTATTATGACAAAAAGTGCAAAAATTTAGTAAAAAATCAGCAAAATTCTCTATTGTTTGCGCATGTAAATACATGATTCCATTTGCTCAACTTTAGAATGCAATAAGAGAACCATTTGCATTGTATCTTGAACTATAGATCTCAAGTTCCTCTATCTAAATCGAAGGTCAAAATCAAAATTTCATTTAGATGGCAGGTCACTTTCATGCATTCTTTTGCATGTTTCTCAAAGATAATGAGTTTTAAAAGGATTTCGTCCTATGCAATATTGGAGAAAAAGACGTGCCCTTATCTTCTCTTTCGATTGGCGAAAACCGCAGATTTCTAGCTGCTTGCATTCTCAAGTTATTCAAAAAACAGTGGAGCACATTCTATTTTGAAATGGATAATAGATATGTAAAATAGAAGAATTTATATCAAACCTATGAATCTAAAACAGAACAAAACGAAACAGCGAATTGAAGTTCTAATACTGGCATGCAGTGAGATGATACATTGTCGTGTTAATGTCTTGAATATTGATTTATTATGCACAGGTGGTATTACAAGGTCCATTGCTCGTGATTCAGAAAGAACACATGCTACTGTATCTAACATACTGTTTCAATTCCATGAGAAGATTTAGTGCCATAGAATGAAAAAGAACCTGAACAACATGGCGTATTATCCCTCTGACGGAGAATATTCCTATTCTCTATTCATGAATTAAACATGTAACGATAAATAAAGGATCAGAATTACAGAAATTGCATATGAACTATAACGATTAATTCAATGGTTCAGGAGGCAAGGTAACTAATACTTTGAAAAAGATTAGATGCTTCTAGAAGCGCATATAAAAACAGGCAGCTGAATAATTTGTGGTCACAATGACGTTATCGATATATCATCTAAACTTTATTTATACTAGACTAATAATAGTTTCAATTAATTTTCATGTCATTACTTGTCATTAGCAAATCTTTCATTAATAATGACATCTTCAAATCAATTTCTGAATCTCCAACTGAGAGACTTCTCAGCCACACCATATCTTGGCAAGTGTGTGTAATTGGTAACTAAATTGAAATGATGGTAAGAAGTGCTGAATTTACTTAGTGTCATTATCTGTGTACCATGAACATGACAGTCAGCTATTGTCAGACTACGATTCTTTTGGACTTCGATCAAATGCAAGAATTCATTTGAAGTATAATGTATGATTGAATTGCAATAAATTAATGAAAATCTTCATATTTAGAAAGGAGTAGCTGCATTTGACATTTCTGACAGAAAAAGAAATGTCAACTTTTCGAGAGCATTCGTAGAAAAAGAGATAACTATATCTTGGTGAGAATACTCTAGCATTACTTCATTAAGATTACAAAAAAAACGTATCATAACATTTTTTTTTAATCAACAGACGAGATAGAAACTCCAATATGTCTATTCTTCAAGTGGCTTTACAGTTGGGCTATTGGGGATCGATCGTACTCTTCTCTATCGGCGTGCCAGCGGCCTTGTTTAATATGATTATTTTCATCGGAATCAAAACATTTCGTCATTCTCCAACTGCTTATTATGTTGTTGGCCAATCGATAGCAGATATAAGCGCTCTATCACTCGTTTTTTTACAAGGTATATCAGTAATATCAGTTTCTGCCTCTTCAGTCGCCTGTAAGCTGGTAGTGTACTTCGCTCAAATAACCGTGTCCACAGCTATGAGTTTTCTGTGCTTGGCAGCATTCGATCGCTGGGCATGTACATCCCAATCGGCTCGCATTCGTCAACTCAGTTCGACTCACATGAGTCGTCGTCTCTTTCCGCTTCCTTTTTTTTTCTGGTCGCTCTTTAATATTCCATGTCTCATATATATGGATCTAATATCACCCACTCTCACTTGTTGGTTCACCAATGATCTGTTCGAAAAGATTACCAGCTATTTTCTTGGACCCATCGTCCCTATTATTCTTCCTCTCATCGTTCTCATCATATTCGGTATGCTAACGTATCGACATATTTGTCTTCTCAAACACGTTCGACAACAACCTGTTCGAAGTCGAGTTCACATGTGGGAACAACAAATGACAAGAATGATGTTTGCTCAAACTCTCTCAAGTATCATATGTACACTGCCTCGAGCGATCTTTATCATTTATTTGATAGCTACACTTGATGAACGTGCAACACGAAGTTTTGATCGACTATCCATCGAATTACTTGTTGAATATCTCACTGTTTTCGTTATGACCATGAATTTTGCATCGTCCTTCTATATTTTTCTTCTTTCATCTCCACGACTTCGACAAATAGTTATGCTAAATGTCAAGCGTATGTTACACATGCGAAATAACAGCATCACTTCCCTTGAACATAACTCAATTCGAACCGTCGCTGATGACACGCAAAATCGGAAAAGACAATGTTAAAGCAACGCTTGAAACGGAAAATGTCAGATAAAATTAATGCATGACAAGTCTTGTAGTGAGAAAAACTTTAGCTGTTACAAGAATTTTATATAAAATCGTAATTAAAAGAATAAAAGTGTTTAAAGAAATCCTTTATCAATATATTGTGATAAGACTATAGTTCTCACCTATTCGAAAGATTCGAATTTGTATGTTACTTTGTTAATTAGGGCCCATTTCATAACGACTATCAGTTCTGAGAAATTATGATCTTTTTACATTTGTCTGTTTCTTAAGAGAGCTGCTCACTATAAACGTTCAAATAAGTTTAAAATATTCCTCGAACCGAAATGCACTGTTGACCGAAACAGTCCTGATGATCTTTCTTAATATGATAGATAAATCTTGTAAACTCTTTCGAGTTCATGAACAGAATGTGCTCTGTTGATGGCGATTCTCAATTCTATTTTAAACATATAATAACCGAAGATTTTGCATCTAGACGATAAGATGAAGTACCCATGTTGGTTTTCCGACATCGATAATAAATCTGTTACAATGAATTTCATGTGTCAAGAGACTCAATGCATTCTATTTCTTACTGTTGCAATACTGACGAAATCTCAAACAAGGTTAGGGTATTGGATGGGATACAATCGTCTTTGATGAAGTTGACCTTGTTGAACTATCTTCAAACAATCCATTGAAAGTGCTTCAAAGTAAATTAGAAATAGAAACATGTAAATATGTCTTTGTTGGTGCATCCAATTGACGTCTCGATGCAGCAGAAATGAATCGTGCATTGTATTTAGCTTGTGTCGATATCAAATGTTGACGACTTACAACAAACAGCTGCAACTACTTCACGTTCAGTGCTTTCACATTCTAATCGAAATAGTCCGATCCATATGTCAATCGTCAGAAATCTTGTTGTCGTCCATTTTGATTTATACAAACATGTTCATGAACAATCTAAATATAAAAATCATTTTGGTCAACGTAACTTTTACTTTTTGATCAAAGAAGACGTAAATGGTTTAATATATACATTAACAGAGCAACAATCATATACGATTGTTCAACGACAATTAGCTATCCATTTTGATGGAATTTTTGATGGTTCACAATTGTTATGCAAATGTCTTTGTAAATATGCCAATCAAGAATATTTAATCGAACAAGCCATACCATAGAAATTCGATCACACGATTGACTAATCTCTTTCATTGCATACTGGTCAGTATTTTATATTAATCGACGAAAATACGAATATGTTCGATTATGTCGAACGATATATCAATATTAATCAATACTCAACACGAATATTAATTGGTAGTTCTCTAGTAGATGATTTAATTGCAGGTTCAACCGATAATGAACTATATAATCGAAGAATATTAATGAATATTATTCTTTATGCTGAAAGAAATGTAACATTAATCATGCGTTAAATGGTTACTTGATACTCTGTATCATCTACGTTCTCTTATTCTTGATAAGCGTGTGGGTGTGAGTGTCGATGCAAGGAAAATAAACAACAATACTCACACCCACATTGAGGTATCCCTTTCCCCATAAAATTTGCTCCATTCAAAAGCAAAATATATAAAAGCGCACTATGAATGCCTAAAACTATCTGACATCGTAAAAACTCGTTTTAAAATTATTATGCGCACGTAACTCGTTAAGATGTGTGATTTTACGATTTGAAACGTTTCTATTTTTGACCCGTTTTTACAGATTTTTTTTATTGATTTTATCTGAAGGGTTATTGTGAGAAGAGTGTCACGAGGTTTAACAGGAAGAATCAAAATTTTACATTAGACATTGATAAAAAAAAGCATAAATGAAGGGCTTATCCAGGCACTGCCACGAACGATTAGATAAAAGTCGCACTTCAATTGTACATAGGTATTGGTCTCGTTACACAATCCAGTTAATTTGAAGGCGTCTCGTCTGAACCAAATGATCATGAAACGTATTATGATTAATCATATTAAAACATGAATTTCTTTAATTGTTGCGATGTAAACAGCAACAAATTAATTTATCAAAGAACATAAGAATAATTGATCTCTAGGAAAGTGAGAAGAGAAGCAAGGCTGTGTAGTATGAAGGTCATCCTTCTTGAAAAATAACAGTGCGTTGTAATCGTCGCCAACATAACATTCGATCCTTCACAGAACAAGGAAAACGAGACGAGGAAAACATAAGAATATAGAATCGTCCCTAAAAGTACATGACAAAAAAATGATCAAAATATTTTCAAAACACTTACTCCATAAGCGACTGAACAAAAAAGATAAGTAATGTTAGAAATTAAAGCATTCTTGACTTTTTGATCAGTATTTTTCTGAACCATTTCTGCTATAACTGCATAAGCCGTATAAATACCAAATGGACTAAGACCTATTACGGTAAGCACGACTTGAATGAAAACTATGATTGTCATTTGTCGATCAACGCGTAGACGCAAGAGAACAATTGTTTTTCTTATGTTGCGATAAGATAAAATTCCAGATATCATCATAATTAAAATTGGAATACCACAGAGTATAATACAGATGAAAAGTATAGCATAGAGAAAAAACATATTACTTTTATAGGTACAAACACCTGTAACTGGTGACATGTCCTGATAATATAACCAAAGAGTATCATGAAGCCACCAGATGATAATAGTGAATAAAGAAACTCGATGTGCATTCTTAATATTACTCAATTGACGAAACCGATCATGTTGAGATGTGACTAAAAACTGATCGATAGTAGCCAAACATGTACATGCTGATGAAACGGCACCAGAACTTAAAGCAAGAAAAAAACGAAGCTTGCACCAAACAACAGAGATACGCGTTATGTCAATGTCTAGAATAGTGGCAAAAACAAGTGGACCAACTGCAGCTATAAATAAGCCACATTCGCGTATAGATACGATAAAGAAATAGAATGTACAAGCAATCGTTCGGTAATAGGATACAGTTGTTAAAATAAATATTTGCATTATAGTGCCGATAGGACCCAAAATCAAGAAAAATAAACCGAGATAAAGTTCAATAAATCGATCAGTGACTGCCAATGATGCCATGATTTGTTTTGGTAGTAGGTTTCCTTGTAATTGAGTGTCGATGAAAAATTGTTAAAAACTATTGTAACTATGTAACTTATATATAACTGGACAATATATCTTTGCTTAAGATCACTTCCTTCCCTAGAAATTTTGATTTTTCGCCATATACATTAAAATTATCTGAAATTTTCATGATATGTTGGGAGCTTAGGGGAGAGATTATAGTAAAATTTTCAGCTGTATACCATGATTTTTTAGAGAGATTTTTATCAATCAAGGACAAAACTAGTTCATTTTGTAATTCAAGGCTATCTATCAATCCTCACTCTATACGTTTACTTCTTTTATGAATGCATGATTTTTAACTGAAGGTAAATTATAAGAAGTTAATTTCATTGAAAAGTTCTAAAAGAAAAAGAGAACACAATAACTAAACAACTGCACTTGTATTTTAGTATGTTCTTCCAAACAAAAAGAGCAATTGATTACAAGGAAACTCATTCAAAAATTTGGGGATGCTGGATCAAATAAGAATAAGCAGAGGAAAAACGAAACAGATTTTATACTTTTTCTGAACATAGCATTTTTTCTCAAGCACTGTTTGACAGAAGTCATGAGACATTTTGCTCAGAAATAAGATATCAAATGAAAGAAAAGATCATGTTACTCATGAAAAATCAACCTAACGACAAACTGGATTGAGTAGCTCATCGTTACTCTCAGATATGGTGTTTATTTAGTTACTTCGCATGCAACACACGCTTATATATGAGAAAGGAAAAGAGTGAAATGAGCACTAGGAAAAACAATAGAGATACGATAAATAGGAAGCCGAAAAGAGGAAAAAAAGATCAGAGGAGCGTTGTATCAGTATCGGCACAATCAAGTTTCGCAGTATCCTTCTATGCATTTATTCTAACTTTAATAATAATTCTGACGAAGATTCATTTTTTTTAGGAGCTGTAGAAGGCTTAAAGAAGGAATTTCTCAACTTTGATCTGTTTGTTGATCTACACAAATGAGCTGAATGTTACATCAGTGATTCTTCAACGTTGCGAGCTAAGGTTTCCATAAAAATAAATTAAAAATAATGCATCAAATCACGATTTTTTACGAAGACAATACACTGTAATTACAAGACTACAGTACAAAAAAGGAGTCGTTTTTTTGTAAAATATAAATGCTAAGCGAAGAGAATATTAACACTACTGAATTAATTTTTATATTCAGATTCATTCAGATACTGAAAAACACTGCTATTATGAGTAGGAGTGTCGATTTCGCATTAGACTAATATTTTTTTTTAAAGTAATGCCACAGTATCGAAGTAATTTTTTAATTCTAACACAAAAGTGTCAAGTTACCTTTTTAACTCTAATACTTTTGTATTAGCATATTCCTAATACTAATGCTCAGCCGACACCTCTAATAATGAGAAAATGTATGTGTAGGCACTCACACAAAAGTGATTGACATAAGTCACCGATAAAATATTGAATCCGTTCACCGTCGAGACGAATCAGTCTTTCGCAACTAAGATAAAAAAAGCAAAAAAATGAACAAATGAAACATTAAAACGAAATCAATATGTGTTAGTTAGTCAATTGTACTCGTATTTTCCAGCGTACGGCAAATATCAAAAATTTTAAGGCCAACCGCAGAATTAATTTTTCATTTAGAATGGGCCTTTGAAGCTGAAATTTCCAGGAACGATTGGTATTGATGAGAAATGCTTGTGGTAAAAATTTCAGCAGGATATATCTAGCGTGACCGAACTTCGGGTTTTTTTTCCTACCTTTCAGAAGAATCAAAATAAATCCGTCGTTATAAGACGTGCAAAGCTCGGACTGATTTTAAATTGAAGCTAGCCTTCTATGAGCAAATTTTCATCGGATGGAATTTTGAAACTCTTTCCAATTCATTTTTTATGAGCATTTTCATAGACATAGTGTTTAAAATCAGTAAGAAAAAGGTGACATCACGAGGGTAACTTCCACTTTTCTCAGTCTAGGAATAAAATATAAAAATTCTGTCTGATGAAAAGTTAGCTCTGATTGAGACCTTTAAAACAAAAAAACATCGGTTACAATTCGAGTCGATCCATGTAAAAAAAATATTAGTAAAAAGATCACATGAAAATTGATTATTCTTTGATTAACAATCGATTTTAGACTGATTTTTTGCTAAAACTTTTTTACATGGGGAATGAGAATTATTTCAATTTTTCCTGCCTAGAAATTGTATTTTCAGAAAAAACATTAAAAAAGTTTTAGAAATGGATTTTTTCATTCAAATTCAGAACAAATTATATGGGTGTGGGTGTGTGTATGGAGTAAGAGAAAATACCAACACCCATACCCTCAGTGTAGTGGTGGATGTGAGGATGCCGATGTAGGTTTGTGTGGAGGTGTGGATCTTTCTTTCAACCACATAAACACCTACTCACACCCCACACCGACACCCACATATACACCCATACACTCCCACTTCCATCCTGTTACTATAGTTCTTCCTTGTATCTATTCCAACAATTGCACTCATACCCACATCCCTACATATCCCACATCAAAACAGTAATGCGCACCCATACACTTGATTGAAATTAATAAGAAAATTGGACAGAGAAAGTCATGGCAAATATTGAAGTTGCAAATAGAATATATGAGTCAGAAAATGCATTTATTATCAAACAGTAGCCATATCGTGTTGTGCCTATGGAAAGAGAAAAAGAAGTCCTTGCATCATGTCACAAACATATCTGCAGCTTCTTATCACTCTTCTGTGCAGATAGTCGATGATGGCCACCTTGAAACTGCAACATTCGCCAACTACAAACTGTAATCAAGAGCTCGATACATATGGCGAGTATGTGTTCGAGGTATTATGTTCAGAGCAAGATGTTTGCGAGTGCGCAAGACTGGTCTCTCACTCATTTACGACTTCCAATCCAATGACCGTCTTTAAAGGTATATCAGCTGATGTATACTACGACAATGTTGCCTTGCCATTGATGATGTCCATCATCGACCAACGACTCTCCTTATTCGCTCGACAACGTTCAACAGGTGAAATCGTAGGATGCATTATTGCTGCAGACTTCTATCTAATATCTCATTATAATGTGACAACCACAAGTGGTATCGCTCATGAAGATTTGATTGCCGATCTCGATGAGATGAGCTCTCATGATTTCAACTCGGAAGAGCAACTCACTCCTAATTTAGTGTTACATTTTCTATTGCAAGCAACGAAAGTAGGCGAAGAAGGTAAAGGTGTGGCCAGTCGATTACTACAACTAGCATGTGAGTACGCTCGTAAGACAAAAGGATTTAAATATGCACATGCACAATCATCGAATCCAGCTATGAGACACATTTATGAGAAGATGGGCGGTCGGGTGACATCACAAATAGATCCAGCCACTTGGAGGTGGAAAAACGGTGGTAGTGGTAATGAATATCCTTTCGAAGAATGGAGTGCTGGACCCCTACCGAACATACGGATCAAATTGTGATCGAAAGGTATATGATGGAATTTCAATTGAGTACTGCGATTTTCTGATGAAAGCGTTTATTTTTTTGATTTGGCTTCAAATACATTTAAATTGAAGAGATTTTGACTTGATTATACTAACTTTGTTCTTGATTGCCTTTCAACGGCCAAATAATGACTCCATGATCAAATACACACCTACCTATATTTCATTCGTCGAATTCTCGTGAAGCTTTCAAAATATATCTTATCCATTAGTGAACCTCTTTATCAAATTTATAATATACATAAATTTTTGAAAGACCTCTGTTGAGCTTTAAAGATAAAGAACATTTTATTTAGAAAAACTCGAATTGTTTCCTTTTTCCAAAATTATCGATTTCGTAGGCCGAACGATGAAAAAAATATTCTTTTTATCACTTAATAGCTCATGAATTTCACTTTTAACTTTGATTAGTAGTCGTAAAAAAATCGGTGATGTTATAACTACGTTCATATCGATGGTTGTAAAACACGTCGAGTATTTCTTTTTTTTGGTACAGTAATAGGCTCCTGTCCCTACGTTATAAAACTTAGAAAAGAAGCGTAGAGGAAGAATCTTTTGCATTGTGTGAATTTTTTTCTAAAAATAAAAAACAATGCAAAAGAGTTATCTGATATCATTGATTGTGCAATTCTCGTGGTGTTCAAGAAACAGTTTCCAAGAAATCCTTTGATATAGTTTGTTATACAAAATATTTTGCTCTTTCTTACTACTGCAGTGAATAAGAGGTGTTGCTAAGGTATCTGTCATGCCTGTGGCAAGAGAGAAAGTCCAAATGTCTATCTCTATACTTCGATGCTCCTTTCAGAACTTTAATTCTACCTGTTATCTACAATCGCGTCGGTTTCGATGTACAAGCGATTGATCAGTTGAAAAACTTGCCTTGTTAGTTTTATCACTGGGATCAATCGATTTATAGGATGCAATTACTACTGCAATTTTCAAAATGTATCCTGTCCTTCCAAAATTTTCTTTTATTTAAACAAATACATTTTATATGATGTTAGATATAAACTATATCCATAGAAATTTTCGAAAATGACTCTTCCATACTATCAACTAAAAGAAAAACAAATTAGCAGATTATTTTTTTTTAATTTTCAAAGAATAGAAAACCACTACAAATATATTGAAGTTTTATAAATGATCATGATTGTGATCACCAATGGTAACAATACGAAATGCTTCAAGAAATTCATTAAAATCAATAACACCATTCTTATCAAGATCAATACTTTTTGCTAAATCAACTATTTGTTTTTCATCGAGTTTTGATCCATTATGATTACCCAAAAATACGCATACATCGGTAAATTCTTGCAAGGAAATAACACCTATCATAATCAATTAGAAAAATAATAAATTTTAGAGAAAAAAAAAACAAACAATGAATTGAAAATAAATTGTTACCTGAATTATCTTTATCCATAGCTCGAAAGACAGTCTCAAGTAGATCTTTATTTCGATAAATTGCTTGACAAAA